TCTTTAGTTTCCCCTGGTCTCCCAGCTGTGTGCGTCACTCTTTAGTGTCCCCTGTTCTCCCAGCTGTGTGCGTCACTCTTTAGTTTGTTGTGTGTGTGTGTGTGTGTGTGTGTGTGTGTGTGTGTGTTGTGTTTTTTTTTTTTGTGTGTGTGTTTGTGTGTTCTGTGTCTGTCTGTCTGTCTGTCTGTCTGTCTGTGTGTGTGTGTGTGTGTGTGTGTGTGTGTGTGTGTGTATATGTGTGTCTCTGTGTCTGTCTGTCTGTCTGTCTGTCTGTCTGTGTGTGTGTGTGTGTGTGTATATGTGTGTCTCTGTGTCTGTCTGTCTGTCTGTCTGTGTGTCTCTGTGTCTGTCTGTCTGTCTGTCTGTGCGTGTGTGTGTGTGTGTGTGTGTGTGTGTGTGTATGTGTGTCTCTGTGTCTGTCTGTCTGTCTGTCTGTCTGTCTGTGTGTGTGTGTGTGTATATGTGTGTCTCTGTGTCTGTGTCTGTGTGTGTGTGTGTGTGTGTGTGTGTGTGTGTGTGTGTGTGTGTGTGTGTGTATATGTGTGTCTCTGTGTCTGTCTGTCTGTCTGTCTGTGCGTGTGTGAACGTTTTCCTGTATAAGGTGTGAAGTTAATATTAAAATAATTTAACTGAGTTTTTACCGTGTGTGTGTGTGTGTGTGTGTGTGTGTGTGTGTGTGTGTGTGTGTGTGTGTGTGTGTGTGTGTGTGTGTCCTCAGACTGGAACATGACGTCCTACGGCTCCCCCTCTCCAGCTGTCCGGGGGGAGGCAGGTCTGGTTCTCCCCATCGTTCTGCAGCACCTCACCCCCACATACATCTCCATCGTGGGCATCGGAGCTGTGGCCGCCGCCGTGATGTCATCGACTGACTCCGCCCTCCTTTCTGCTGCCTCCATCTTTACTGCCAACATCTACAGGAACATCATCCGACCACAGGTGAGGAAGAGGAGGAGGAGGAAGACTCAGATTCTAATATTAAACTATTTTAAAAATGGCTGTACTTTGGGGTAAATGAAAACTAGTCAGATCAAAGAGACAAGGGAAGATATTTTAGAATTGATCATCTGTGCTTTCACAAATATGAACACAACAAGATGTGTGATGAAATGACTGAGAGAGTAAAGGCAAAAAACAAAACCTCATGTGAGGAAGAGGAGGAGGAGGAAGAGGAAGACTCATATTTATATATATATATGCCAGATGAGAAAACTGTTTTAAAAATGGCTTAAAATGGTTGTATTTTTAGGTAAATTATCCTAAAAATCCAAGAAAAAATGTGTTTTTATGAGGAAGGAAGGGGGAGGGGGATGAGGAGGAGGGAAATAGGGAGGAAGAGGAAGAGGGAAATAGGGAGGAAGAGGAGGAGGAGTGTTCATTAATAATACCCATCATTTTGCTGGATGAGAAATGTTGGACGATGCAATGTTCTAAACACCGACTGTGTCTGACGCGGTGCGCACCCTAAACCCCCCGGAGACTAACGTGTACTCCCCGGTCTCTCCCCAGGCGTCAGAGGGGGAGATCCAGTGGGTGATCCGGCTCTCGGTGGTGGTGGTGGGTTTGGCCGGGACCTCCCTCACCTTCCTGGATAACAGCGTTCTGATGATCTGGCTGCTGCGCTCAGACCTCACGTACACTCTGATGCTGCCTCAACTCGTCTGCGTGCTTTTCTTCAACATCTCCAACGGTTACGGCGCCGTTTTGGGTTGTTTTATCGGCATGTTGCTGCGGGTGTTGAGTGGCGAACCCCTGCTTAGAATCCCCGCTTTTATCAAGTTCCCAGGAGGCATGGAGGTGGACGGTGTTTTTATCCAAGGAGCTCCGGTGAGAACCATCTGCATGCTGTCCGCCTTGGCGTCCATTTTGCTGTTTTCATACCTGTTCTCCGTGCTCTTCAACAAGGATTGGGTCCCGGAGCGTTGGGACGTGTTTAACGTGAAGGCGCAGTACTCGATACAAACACAAGAAGAGGTGAAGTCCGACATTAAGGGGGACATTAAGGACGACATTAAGGACGAGACCCTGAAGGAACAGAATGAGAACAATGAGGCGTGTGAACCTATGTTAGAGTCGGCATGTTAAAGTAGGAATGTTCATTTAAAAAACATATTTTATACCATTTTAAGGACTGGTTTAAGAACAATTATTAAATGTGAAACTACATTATTTTAAAAGTACAGTATATTTTGAATTTTTTGTATACTTTTATATACAGTACAAGTGGGAGAAAACACGCACCAATGTTCTTTTATGTTATATTGAGAGCTTTGCATTTTCTTTGCCTTTTTATTTAATTGAATGTATGACAATTAAGACCCGGGCACTGACATGTAAAGACACCACCTCCTCTAGGAGGCCCACAGGTGACAAGCAAACTACAACGGTACACAACACTTACATTAGGAGCAGAAACAATCAAATATAAAAACACAAATGTTCCACATGAAGAAACATCTCCAACAACAACCCGTGCAGCGTTTAGAGAACATTCAGCAACTTGAGGAGACATGCGCAGCGTTTACTAAAAGCTGCAGAGACCAAACGCTGAAGAAGCTCAAAACACAACGGAGACTCCCGACTTTTTAGTGTCCCCCTGTGTCCTGCACTACGAAGCCAGCCCAACAGACCCTGGATATGTTTGAGTTATCTTAACTAACCCTAACAAACGAGATCTCGCTAAGCGGTCCTACGATGCTGGTTATCAACTCGGTAAATCAACCCAGGGTTCCTCTGTCCGGCTGAGTGGGCGTTCACATGAAAGGGGCGGGGTTAGCAACATTGGACCAATCACAAACAGGTAGAAGCGTACTGACAGCGCAGCGTCATACTTCATTAATGAAAAAATGTCTTAAAAATATAATTTTAGTGTCCCCTGGTCTCCCAGCTGTGTGCGTCACTCTTTAGTGTCCCCTGGTCTCCCAGCTGTGTGTGTCACTCTTTAGTGTCCCCTGGTCTCCCAGCTGTGTGCGTCACTCTTAGTGTCCCTCACTCTTTAGTGTCCCCTGGTCTCCCAGCTGTGTGTGTCACTCTTTAGTGTCCCCTGGTCTCCCAGCTGTGTGTGTCACTCTTTAGTGTCCCCTGGTCTCCAGCTGTGTGTGTCACTCTTTAGTGTCCCCTGTTCTCCCAGCTTGTCCCCTGGTCTCCCAGCTGTGTGCGTCACTCTTTAGTCTCCCCTGGTCTCCCAGCTGTGTGCGTCACTCTTTAGTGTCCCCTGGTCTCCCAGCTGTGTGCGTCACTCTTTAGTGTCCCCTGTTCTCCCAGTAGTGTGCGTCACTCTTTATTGTCCCCTGTTCTCCCAGCTTTGTGCATTACTCTTTAGTGTCCCCTGGTCTCCAGCTGTGTGCGTCACTCTTTAGTGTCCCCTGTTCTCCCAGCTGTGTGTGTCACTCTTAAGTGTCCCCTGGTCTCCCAGCTGTGTGCGTCACTCTTTGGTCTCCCCTGGTCTCCCAGCTGTGTGCGTCACTCTTTAGTGTCCCCTGCTCTCCCA